TATCGAGGGGGAGGCAACGCGAAACAGAGCGAGCACATTGGTAGACAGAAGGTGACGCACCTTATTCTCACTCTCATCAGCAGACATCCCATCACTGTCACTATCGGTTACTCGCTCCTTACACTTCAGGTCAATATCGGCCGCACTGTAGGGGTCATCTGCTGAAGGGGTCAGACCAGAACCGCTCGCTCAGAACAGAGGATCACCAAAATCTACCCCCAACCCCCCGACACCCCCCGGGCGGGGGTATTCCCCCCCCCGCAATACCCCACGGGCTGTTCCCCCCCCCCCCCCCACCCACCCCTGGTGTGGAGAGGGACAGGAGTCAGACTACCATCAGTGGAGGGTCTGAGCGGTCCCACACCATGTTCTGGGCCATCAGAACGGGACTACAGGGGTCTGGCGGGGTCGCAATGGGTACGAAGGCCCTGCCCCCGCCTCCACTGAAGCCAGTCACAACACAAACGACATTTCAAATTCCACTCCCATTTCCCAGCTGCAAATTCGTTCTTAATCACCAGGTAAGGGCACTGGGTAAAGATGGCGCAGATAAAGACTGGCCATTCGGACAGCTCGGTTTGGATTCAGGCCCAGCAGCCCCGAAGCAAGGCTCACCCATCACATCGTCATCGCCCTCCTCCTCGCAGATGACCATCCTCTCCTCATCGCTGGTCATGTCCTCGCTGGTGGTCCGCTGGGAGCGGAATGGCCGGGCCTGGGCCTGGGCCGGCCGTAAGGAACTGCTGCTGGTCACAGAGTCAGTTGGCCCCTGCCCACTGAAGCTCAGTGTTCCCGTGGGGAGGTGCTGCGAGCGGACCCCAGGGTAAGGTAGTGGGTTCGAGCACATCTACAGCGAGAGGGGAGTGAGAGGGAGGTTAGGGGGCACATGCACAAAATCGAGCCCCCTCAGCAACAGCAGGAGTAAGCACCCTGGACCCGACCCTGCACAACTCATTCCCCCCCGGACTACGTTACCCAACCCTGCCCCCTTCATCCCCCCCCCCCCCGTTTACCCAACCCTGCCCCATTCATCCCCCACCCCCCTCCCCGTTACCCAAACCTGCCCCATTCATCCCCCACCCCCCTCCCCGTTACCCAAACCTGCCCCATTCATCCCCCATCACCCCGTTTACCCAACCCTGCCCCATTCATCCCCCATCACCCCGTTTACCCAACCCTGCCCCATTCATCCCCCGTTACCCCGTTTACCCAACCCTGCCCCATTCATCCCCTCGTTACCCAACCCTGCCCCATTCATCCCCCCGTTACCCAACCCTGCCCCATTCATTATCCCCCCCGTTACCCCAGTCTGACCCATTCATCTCCCGTTACCCCACAATGCCCCATTATCCCCATTTCCCCCACACTGCCCCATTCCCACCGTTACCCCAGTCTGCCCCATTCCCCCCGTTGCCCCACACTGCCCCATTCCCCCCATTACCCCACACTGCTCCATTCCCCTCCATTACCCCCACCATTACCCCACTCTGCCCCATTCATTCCCTCCCATTACCCCACACTGCCCCATTCATTC